TGTGTGTGTGTGTGTGTGTGTGTGTGTGTGTGTGTGTGTGTGTGTGTGTGTATGCATGCAAGTATGTATGAGTGTGTGTATATGAGTGTGTGTGTGTGTGTTTGTGTTTGTGAGTAAGTCTGTGTGTGTGAGTAAGTGTGTGTGTGTCTGTGTATATGCTGTATGTGTGAGTGAGAGAGTGAGAGAGAGGTCTTGTTTACTGTTGTCAATTAAGCTTATCTTTTTTTTTGTTGAAATGATATTCCCCCCACATATTTCTTCTCAGCACATCTTTTTTTTCGTCGTTGTCGTCCATCTTGTTTGTTTAACCTGTCTTCCATGCTACACCAGCACTCACCACCACCCCGCCACGTCCCGTAACTCGCTCGGCAACAGTCCCTGGCTATGGTTATCTTCCCCTGACCCCCGCGGGCGGCGCCGAGCGGGCGGCTCTCGTAGCCTCCAACCCAGCGGCCGCGGCCTATGCAGACTTTGGTGCTAACCCCGTGGCAGTGTCTGCGGCCCCGCTCGCCCTGCCGGCTCCGACTTCCGCCACGCACCGTAGCGAGGCCGGCACCGGAGCCCTCACGCTCGCCACCGCCTCGCAGATCCAGCGAGACACGATACCGAGGGCGGCCGCCCCTGCCGTGGGTGGGTCTCCACTTTGTTTGTGTGTTTGTTGTTTGTGTGTGTGTATTTGTAGGTTTCCATTGTGTGTATGTGTGTATCTTTACATATATATATATATATATGTCTGTGTGATCATGCAGGCTCTTTGATGTCTGTCTGTTTGGTGTGTTTGTGTCTGTGTGTTCACGTGGATGGTTTGGTGTCTATCTGTAGGTTTGTATGTCAGTAGCTACAGTTGCCAGTGGTTTATATCCTGAGAACAAAAGCTGTTACGTATCAGTGAAGCCAGCAGACGACAATCTTCAGGACCAGACATACCAAGCCAGCTCTGTTCTCAATGATCGTCCCTTGTTTGTTCGTTGCAGTTTTAGTAAGGTTTTACGGCGCTCGCAACTGCAGAAGTTCATATATAAGCGCCCAGGGGTGGATGTCAACAGAGAGGTCCAAACGGGGAATCAGGCTTACTCTGTCACCTCTCGCTAGCCTCAACAGTACAAAGTCTGCTTCAACTATCAAAGCACCCAAGAAATACCAGTTCACGCGAGAGTGACAAAAATACAGAAGAAGTAGAGGAAAAATGACGATAGTAAGGATCAGGAAAGAAAAAGCAGCAGTTTCCCCAGTCTTTTTCCGGCACAGTATGGGCATGACATTGATAAATCAGCCCATTGACATGTCTAATGTGCATAAAAACATTATGTTAATATCCCCCCTTTTGGAATGACCGAAAGACAACTTCAAACGTTAGTACTGCCCTGGTTTGGGGGGGTTCTTGTTTAGGGCGTTGATCGGATCGAACAAAGTGCTGTTTTTTTATGTAGGCGTTCGAACGCTTCACATCGACACAATTTTGATCATTTAGGAGGCGGGCTTCGAACCTGCCAGTCAGGACCCTCCCCTCTGGGCTAAGAAGAATACAGACAGTATCCCAACAGAAAAACCTTCGAGATACTCGATAAAATTTCTCCCCACACGGAAGTCGAACTTGAGTCATCTGGGTGCGACAGCGAAGCGCGTAACCGCATCATCACACAGACGCCGGTGAGCAAAGTGTGGAGATGTCCGCGGTGTGCAGGTTTCGGTGAGTGTCTCTGCAGTCTCCATTGTTCTTGTGCCAGCAGTAACACAGTGAGCTCTCTGCTGGTGGCAGCTGATCTTGTCTCCTCTCACCCTGCTGGACACAGTGTATGCGGTCGCTGACCGACTCCGTGCTCGTATGCGCTAAATTACGTCAGAATGGTTTGGGTTGTTTTGTTTGCTCGAGTTTTTTTGGGGTTTTTTTTTGGGGGGGGGGTTGTTTTTATTTTAATTTGTTTTTGTATTTTTGTTTGGTTGGGGTTTTCTTCTTATGTCTCATATTGTTAAAGAACAACTACTTTATAACCCACTTAAGGAAATCCAGACAAAACTAATAGAGGTCTTTTAAATTATTTTAAAGGGGAAAGGGGGAGGGTCGTTTGCCAGGTGATCTAATCACGTATGACACAGATGACAGAGTAGAAACATGGAGCATTTCAACCCTCACAAGAAGGAGACTCACCTGAAAGAAAACTTTCCAGGAAGCTTGAAAAAAATTGCTCGAACGTAGCTCGGAGTCGAACCCTGTTATTCTGGGTCGCAGGTCAGGTTTGTCACGTACTGCGTCACTACGACCGGTTGATTGTTTGAATCGTGATGCTTCCAGGTTGTGTGGAGAGAGGTCAAGGTCGCGTCGTTGAGCATGATCTTGTTCAAGACAGTGCTCAGAACATGGTAGTGTCTGAATACATCGTCATTACCATCATCATCATCATCATCATCATCATCATCATCAGCAGCAGCAGCAGCAGCAGCAGCAACATCGTCCTCTT